AAGTTCCTGAGGAGTGAGCAGGGGTGCATTACCAGAGGAATTACAGAAAGAAAGTATAGAACAAAGTATGCTTAGGGAGCATGAGGGTTGGGAAGGTAGAAACACAGCTAGGAGGAAAAGATGAGAGAAAGAGAGCAAAGAGTGTGGACATACATGCAGGCCTTTGCAACACCAGACAGAGTTTGATTCTGGAAGAGCTCACACTCCTTTGGTGCTCTTGGACACAATGGTCTTGACTACCTTTCTCGATCAGCGCAGATGCTCCAATTTCACCAAGGCCTCCCATGACCCAGTTTAATAATGCAACCTGAACTCCTCTTTATTCTCATTACTTCTGACTTCACTCACCAACTTTTCTTACAGTACATTTCACCTACTAACTCTTTAGGTCATTTTCTTACATATAATGCACATTGTTTTCTGTCTGCTCTATTGAAGGTCACATTACAAAAGCAGAGGCTTGTGTCTAGTTTGCCCCTGACAAATTACAAACAAACAGAAGATTTTCTGGTACTCACTCGATGCTCAGGGAGTCTCCAATCTTCAGTTTTTTGCTACTGAGTCATTAAAACAGATCTTAAAAGACACTAAACAGCTATTTTAAAACACCCCATAAAGCTACTATATTTTGAATGGTGATAGACATTGTGAGAAAGACATTACAAAGAACATTCCTTCATCACACAAATTTATGGGGCAGAGAGAAGGGATGTCATGAAGTTGAAATGCCTCATATTGAATGAGTCACTGTGAGAAGAAATGAAAATTATTTGCCAGCTTCTCATCAAAATTTTGTCGCCTTTAATGTTCAAGAAATTGCTCCTGGTCAGATTACAGAAATCCTACCTAATAATTTGCACGGGAAGAGAGGTAATTTAAATGTGTCTTAGTAAATCTAATTAGTTTTCTTATGGATAATGGTAAAATTTCCTAAGAACCAACAAAAATGCATTCAAGTAACAAATGAAGTGACTGCAGGCTTGATTACTCTTGTAGAGTCTAGTGTGTGGAGCCACAGGCCTTCCTTATTTTTTCTGTCTGAGTCTTGAATGATGGTCCTCAGAATGAATTGGGGTACAATATTTCCCAACATCTGCAGCCCAAATACATCGTAAAATATATTTTATACCCTAAATACTAATTAGAAATCATGATACTTTATGCTAATATGTCTCCATGTTTTCTATACAGAGTTCACTAAGAAAATAAGGAAATGTTAATGTAAATAATAGGGAATGTTAACATAATGGGGGCGAGGGTGAGAGTGGAAAGAGGAGGCTGTTGAAGTCAGTTAAAAGACTCCATTTTTCAACTCCTCCAGTCTCCTCCAGCCGACATGGAATCCATGATTTTCTTTATTAAGAACTATGGGTAACTTCATTGGAATGACTATATGAAGTTGTTGTCAAACTTTTGCTTTATAATTTAATTTTATTATAGTGTGACCTCCATCAATTGATAGTCTATAAAGTTGATATATTTTGATAACAAGAGACTTCTGATTAGAATTACAGAATTCTGTATTGGAATAAAATTGAAATACAACCTCAACATTCTTAAAAATTTTGAACTGCTACCAATATATTATGCATGGTCTGCATCTAATTAGGAGGCAACTATTGCCTTTCAACACCGTTTCTTTCTCCTCGGCATCACTAAATGCTCAGAAAGTTCTAATGGTTATCAAGTTAGTGCTGCAGTGTGATGTTTCGAAATCAAATCCCCCTACTACCAGTTACTACTCTCCAAGAGCTCCAGCAATCTACTTACCCTCTCCAAGCCTCTATTTTTGTAAATAAAAAAGAGAAAATGGGTAAACATAGAACTTCCTTCCTAGGATGGTTGTCAAACCACATGAAGTGCTTATTATTATATACAAGATAATGAAATTAATATTGCTGTTTTTGTTGTGGACACAGTTTGGCACCTTGGTCGAGGTTACTGAAACCCACCAGAAACCCTAGATCATCATCCTTTATAAGATTCCATTTCAGTTTTTCTTGGTGTATCAAGATTTCCAGCACTTCTAAAGGTAGGTAGTGGGAAAGTCAGTAAAAAGGGTGTTGTCATCGTATAAACTAAAAATCACTTGAATATAAAGTCCTTACAAGTTTGATTTTTCAGAGAGTTGTGGGTTCTCTTATACAAAGGCCAATGTATTTTGGCCTTTGGCAAGCCCAAAAAAGTGTCTTTTTTGCATGGTTCTAGTGAATAGAGACTTTCCTATGTAATTGGCCTCTCCCTCAATTAGTCCAAATGAGTAAATTGTACTATACATTTGTTCCTGTCAAGAATGAATTAATAATTTAAGTATGACATTAAATAAGTACCCGGCATTGATTTATGTGTGTCATCTTTAGTAACATCAATTAATTATACTGCTACATTCTTGATATTGTAAAAAGCACAGACCAGGTAAAGTGATCTGAGGAAGTTTTACTATATTGATTCACACCAACAACTCGAAAAATATGTGCAAAAATTACCTCTTTAGAAGTTGGAATCCACCCCTTATTTTCCTAGACTGTGAGTTTAGCTGATCTCACCAAGAAAACCTGCACATATTGGAGTTTACAGCGAGGAGGGAGGGAGGATAAGGTGGTGGGAAACCATAGCTTTCTGGAGCTCAGGGTCACCTACTTCACGGGGTGCATGTTGGAGGAGACTAGTTTTCAGAACATCAGCCATGAAGTTTTAGTTTTCCCATAAACAGATCAGAACCAGGAGGGAATAACCAGGTCACCAATACAAAAATATACACACTTGTACCTGATAATACTATTTCAACATCATAAGAAATGGGGTAAGTACCCTGGGGAAGGGAGAAAGAATATCAGGGGGAAAGTTCAGCATTTATCACATCCAAGGTCTCTAAGAACGATGTTTGCCTCGATTGCTAAAAACAACAACAAAAAATTACAGTCTTGGGCCTCCCTGGTGGTACAAGAGGTTAAGTCTCAGCCATATCAAGCTATGGGACAGGGAACTGACTCCACATGATGCAGCAGACCTCTCCTGCCCGATGCTCCCCTCAGCAGTGTATTTCAGTGGAGCTGCCTATTCTGTTCCCCACTAATTCTCTGGTGATTCTCCTCACCTCCTGTACTTCTCTGGCCTACACCCAGCTTGTAAGTAAATGTTTTTAAAAGTTACCTTCTCCTGGCCCTCCCTGGTGGTGCAGCGGGTTAAAGCACAGCACTGAGAAGCTAAAGCCACTTCGCATGAGTTCGATTCCCGCCTGCCCCGGAGGTGACCACATGGCGTGGCAGACCTCTCCTGACTGGCCCGCTGCTCCCCTCAACAGTGTACTTCCTCAATCTGCCTGTTCTGCTCCCTATTCTGTCTATGGTGAAGCCTCTTAGCGCCCCTGAGCCTCTGGCCTGTACCCCAGTTCTGTATGCACAAATAAATAAATTAAAAAAAAAAATTATCCTTTCTTGCTTCTATCAGCAGGGTAAGTCAGATAAGCTGACCATTTTTACATGGGACCTATAGAGGCTCTATATTTCCTTCCTGGCTACAGGGCTCCAGTAACAGGTACCCTTTCCTAGATCACCTTCATATTCATGGCCCCAGAACATCTCCATGTATATCAGGAAGGCCTGAGACCTGGCCTCTTGCCTTTATTCCCACCATAATGACTAATTTCCTTTATGAATCCATAGGAAATGAAAAAGGTGTTGTCATATCTATCATTCTAGTACCCCCCGCTGGCCTGCACTCCACCATACACCCCTTTCTGGGCCGACACAATTATTAAGTATAGAACCTTTTTCCTATTCCATGGTAGAAAATAGTGGGGAAAGAGCACATGTCAACAAATCTAAACATGCACATTTTCAGCTCCTTGGCCTCCAGAGACTTCATATCCTTCTCTATTCAGCTGAAAATTATAATATCTACTTTGAAAAGAGGTAGAAAGAATCAAAGAAAATAAGCTATTTGGTATTTTCCTTGCCTATTAGCTATTATTAATAAATTCAGATTACTATTTAAGTTCTGAAAACAGGCTTACTAAATCAAACCTGAAGTATGCACAGGCTAAGTTTCATTTGCTGAAGATGACAGAATTCTGCTAAATATCTCTGGTTCATTTCTAGACTCTAAAAGATGGCGTACAACTTTATTGTCTGATGCTCTCCCTTCTCAGCTCTGCCTAAGCTTATCACCAGTGTGTGTAATTAAGGGGCTTAGTGCTTCGCTGGCATTCAGGAGGCACAGTCCCTACCCTGGTGCCACCTGGCAATCTATCAGAATTTGTTTTCTGCCATCCTGACATTTCCCTCCCTGAAATCCTCCTTTTGAAGAGGAAGTTGGAAGAGACTTGAAGCCAGTTTCTCCTTCCCAGTGGTACTTCAAAAAGTGTGCAATTTGTCTTTTTTGGAAAGCTCGCACTTGACTCGCCTAGTTAGTAATTACAAGAGAAGATTCAAAGGCAGTAGCTCAGTGCAAGCTACCCCTGTCTTTGTCGCTCATGGGTCTCTGAAGAGAAATACAACCTTTCTCATTAGAAAACTCCTGGTGTTCTCTGATGAAGTCAAAATGTCAGGCCCTCAACAGATGAGGATAATTAAAAAAATTGAAATGATCTAGACCTAGGTCAGAGTTTTAAGTTTTCTTTCTCACTGCATCAGAAAATAGCCATCGACTTTTAAAGGAACAGACAAAAGACCCTTCAAGGTTACTGTATTGAGAATGCACTGGAGTCAAAATAGGAAAGTAGCGGAACATCAGGGTGCTGAAGTTCCTGGGAGAAAGTTTCAAACTTTCAGAGCATGCTCGGGTGTGCTAACCTATTTATTTCTGATAACAGCCCTGGGAGTTGCCATTATCACACTTACTTTACTGAGGAAGAGCACAAAGTGGCACATCTGCCATCTCAGGAGCCATAAGGGACAAGGGGAGGGCTTCTGACTTCAGGTCCTGCATTGTTCCAGTAAGCTAGAGCCCTTGTGACCACTCAGTTCCCCAAGCAAGGTGTTTATGCTGTTTCTTCTTACCACATCCTGGATGCAGAACTAAGACCCATGACAATTTCTCCATCTGCCATACTGCTTGGTCATTGTCCTCCAGCGCCTTTGCCACGAAGTCATTCTTAATTACACAGTCAAGGACAGACTGTCTCTGGTGGCAGCTAATATCTGGACGTTTCACCCAAAAGATAAGCCTACTAACTGGGACTGACGAAAAGGGAAACCCTGATGGAGAGGTGCCCAAAACATCTGCCCTGGGATAACATCTTCACAGGAAATGGATGATATGTCAAATATGATTCTGAAAAGCCAGGGCATTACATAAATCCGTTAAGACAATATGGCCCATTCATTTACTCTGGAAGGTTGACAGCCCTTCCCTACCAGCCTGAACACGCACAGTCACACTAGTCCTTCCAGGATTCACAGGTCCTTCCCAACTTATCCCTGAGATGCCTCCCAAACCAACAAACTGGACAGGACAACCCCAACTTTGGAATCTTCCCATACTGCTCCCCACAATGACATCATCACTGCTCTCAACTCCTAAATAGAAAGGTGTCCCACCAAAGCAAACGGTTTGTGAATCTTGTGCATTATGCCGTAAGCCTTCAAAAAAGTGAGTTTCAGAGTCCAACACTTCCATTCAAAAACTGACAACATTTGCTAGCTGTGGATCTTCAACAAACTATTTAAATCTTTGAAACTCAGATTCCTTTTCTCTAATGCTGAAAGGTTGTCCTCTATTTCCAGTGGATGATTCTGTTTACTTACCTCTTCCTCCTTTTGAAGAGAAATCCTAACTAGTTCTGCCCTTTAAAAGGCCCTGCAATTTCTTAGGCTAATCAGGACAATTTCAATTCCATTTGCTTGAGCACTAATAGGCATAGGAAGCAATTTTGACCCTTAGATGTGAATGACAGTACGCGAGTGGATTTGGGGCCTCGAACAAAAGATACACCCAAGAAAAAAGGACTAATTTATCTTCGAGTTGGAAAATGTGGTATCTGGAGGTGCCCAGGACCACTGCAGCTATCCTGTTATCACTCGTAGAATTAGCCTGAGTATGTACAACTCACTGAGCATAATAGAACATAAAGATCAAAAACACCCAATTTTCTGATACCCTCACTGAACTGCTAAACTAGTAATGTAGTTTATATCAAATAATACATTTCCTTATGATTTAGATCCTGAGTCAGTGTTTTTTTCCTACTACTTGAAGCTGGAAGAAAGCATATTAATTAAAAATAATGACAATATCAAGTATCAAGAAATTTCTCAATGGCAAGTACTATCTGAAATATTTCAGTATATTAACTTAGTCAATTAGCACAACAGTCCTCTGAGGCTGTTAGGAAACACACAGAGAGATGAAGTAACATGCTCAATTCACTGAGGAAGGAGCAGGGGATTTGAGCACAGGCTGCCTGGCTCTGGAACCAAGTACTGTGCAAAATCTTTTCCTTACTTATAAACACAATTGTGGATGAAGGTACTGGGCTGAGGTTTTAAAATAAAGCCATCCAGGAAGTCCCTTATGTAAATCTGGAGGACCTCAAATACACTGGGAATTTAGCAATATATGTTCCCTATGTTCCTTACAGTGTCAGGTCCCTCTTTATCTACCACACCTGCTGCCATTCACCCCTTCACATCTACAGAGTTGAGGTTATTTTTCACATTTGCTCTCACTACAAACTGCCCAGTAGTATTTTGCTGCTCTATACCATCATCACAGACTTGGTCTCAAATCAGTTTCACTAAATCTGCTCCTCCATGTCAGCAGGAGTTTCCAGGCCCACCTATCACTCCTCAGACCCTCCCACTATTATTCTGAACTGATACAATTCCACAAGCCTGCCTCGCTGAGTAGCTTCTGACCATTCAGTTATATGAGGGCCTTTTTCTTTTTTTGTCTCCAAAATATTCCCACAGTTGTCTGACATTCTTATCCACTGTTGCCAAGTAATTTGAGATTATTCTGAAAATGCCCATGGAACACTCTATCACCTCATCTAGAGCAATAGCCCATTTTCCTTTTAGGAGCCTGGAGTTTTCTGGTTTCATTGTTCCTGCATTTCCAAAGGGAACTGGAGGTTCCTGACATAGCTGAGTGCTGAGAGGGAAAGGGTGCAGGAAAGAGACTCAACATAGAGCTGCTACTACCAGGGAAGGGAGTCATCAGAACTACAAGTCTGAGTCCCATACCAGATGTAATACAGCATAATGTTAGAGACAGAATTCAGGAATCCTCATTCCGATCCACTCTTAGGTTATTCTGATGTATGTTGAAGTCTGGAGCTCTTTATTCTAATGGCAGAAAGAACATAGGAGTCCATAGAACAGAAGGTGAACAAAATCCAGGGACCTTTCTAGGTTATTTAAGCTGGGGTCAAAACTGACTTTCTTAGACATGGAAACAACCCAAATTCCCAAAAGTAGATGACACAATGGAATATTACTCAGTCATCAAAAATAAACACATGCCTTTTGCAGCAACATGGATGGAGCTGGAAAAGGTCATGCTTAGTGAAATAAGACAGAAAGAAAAGGAAAAATTCCATATGGTTTCACTCATAGCAGGAGTATAAAGGATCAGGGGAGAAAATAATAATAATAATGAACAACTATATACCAGAGACATTTCATTGGGGGTGGAATGGGGAATGGAATAAAAAACAGTGGGTGGAGGGAAGTACATTAGACTATGATGGGAGCCCATGGGGATTACAACTAAGACAGAAAAAGATACAAAATGTAAAAAAAAAACAAAAAACAAAAACCTGTCTTCTCTTCTCTTTCTTTGTTCTCTTATAGCAAACTGGTCCATCACATCCCACTTAAAAGAATTTTCCACCATCCACTAATAGGTCATTAGCTGGATGGCCTCAAAAAAAAACTGTATTAATACTTCCAGTTATCACCAAAGTGGCTGAAAACTAAAAGCTAATACAGAAAAACTGTGATAGGCAAAGTTTAAGCCTACTCTAATCAGCCTTCCAGAATCTTACCACTCTTATTTTTCCAGATTATAAATGTCAAAACACAATGTTTTGCCCAAGGTCATATAGCTAGTGGTAGTTGTTTCAGCATCTGACCCAGAATCAGATTCCAGAGTCAGTGCTCCTAAATTCAGGGCTGTAATATCCAAATTCAGAGAGAAAGGACCAGTAATTATGCCTCACTCCAACCAGAGTGTCTAACCCATCTATGGCACTGCCTCTCCTGAACTTTCTATTTCACTTCTCTGACTAGGTTGTCCAAATAGTGCCTTAAGACCACTTGGCCTCTTCTTCATCCTTAAAGGCCAGTAACTAATGTCAGCTAATCAAGGCCACCATGGGTTAAAACCAGAGAGATACGATTCCCTACTTTATAGGTCTGTTTCTTGAAATTTAAACCCTATCTATTAAATGACAATAAACACTGTGCTGGGTACTTCACATGCAGAGCAGGTGGCTATATTTGATGTTCTTCTTTTCTGTTCCACCATCTTTCTTTAGCTCTTAAGATAGCATCGGTGGCAATTTCAATACATACTCTTCCATGATATGATTCAGAAGGGGAATACTAGGAGTGGGAGTGGAAATTAAGATTCTAACTCCCTTCTTATTAAGAAAACTTCCAGCACAGTCTTTAAGCATTCTAATTAACAATGGAAAAACAAACAAACAAACAAACAAACAAAAACTATGCTGTTCGTCACTCTTAATTTCTCTGTAAGAGAACACAAGTCTAAAACACAAAGTCAAAGATACAGTCTTATAGCTGGAGTTAGATCTTTTGTCTGAAACTTGCCAGCTCTGTGACCTTGGGAAAGTCATTTTAACCATGTGGCCTCTGGTGCTGGCTGTATTTCTGAGTCCTTGCTTTGCTGTGTGGATAGGGACATCACTGCAAGTCACCAGGGATTTTGTTAAAAGTGCAGGTATTGATTCAGTCATTCTAGGGAAAGGCAAAGAGTTCTGTATTTTTTAACAAAGTCCAGTTTGATATGGATGCTTAAGGTCTAGCTACAGACCACACTCTGAGAAAAAAGGAGCTTAAGCACAATTTCCTTGTCTGTTAACAAAGCTGACAAGGGGGAGTCTTTTCTGGGTCTCTCCCATGTATTTTAAAGCTGTTATAAATTTTAAAAAGTGCAGAATGGTAAAATTCTCACTATGGAGTTATGGTGAGGATTAAATGAGAGACTTGCTATAGAGTAGCCATTGAGGGCTCTGTTGCTTTTAACCTTGGTCAGGCAGCCCCTGGAAGTGAGGTAGCCCTTAGAATTTATTTGTGACACTAAACCCCTCTATACACAGCATCTAGTGCACAGCCTTTGAAAGCATGAGGTTGTTCTTTGTGATGCTTCATTTAAAGAAAGTTATTAAATATTTGGAGGGCTAGGGCTCTTTATTTAGGGAAGAAGGCAGCTCTGAAATTTCATCTTGTGTGCACACACGTGACAACCTGCTTAGATCAAAATAGTACCTGTTCTTTATGTTCAAAAGGACAGACTTACAGGAAAGGTAACATTATAATGGGTCCTTATCTCTTAAATTCATCCTTACTCAGGGGCTCTAACCCTGGAGTTTTGTTTTTGTGTTTGTTTATTTTAGACAGGATCTCTGTGCTTTAGATTAGCTGCATCAGTGTGCTCTAATCTCCATGAAACACTGCAAAAATTGAGAAAGGGTAACTTCCCATAAAACATGTTTACAATTGGTTATGGGAGTCTCACACATTTACATCTCCCAATGAGGATTCATATACTCATAAAATGATAGTAGTTCTCTCCTCTCTTGCCAGCAAAAAAAAAGGCGCATTCCATTATCTCTTTTGTATTTTAAATCCATATTTCATCTTTTAAAACATAGTCACAAAACAGTCAAACTTCAAACATTAAGTAGGATGTGTGTTGTAACAAATAAGCATGTATCCCACACTTAATTAATGGTGAGGTAAGGAAAGGAAATCACATTCAATACACATGAGTCAGTCCCTCAAACCCACATGAAGCTTCATTTGCTAATTGTCAAATAAAGTAAGCTTTCATATTTGCTCATAGGTAAAATACCATAGCAAATACTCATGCAAATTCCATATGCATTCAATACACCCTAATGATGGTAAGAATGCGGTCATTTAAATCAAACAGTTCATTTCAATTTTGAATGCAATCTGATATAATTTTTAAAGTATTGTTTCTTCCTTCCTTTTTGTCTTTTACTTTTTTTTTTTTCCCTCCTTTAAAGATGCAACTACTCAGGACTAGATAAGCTTCCTGGCATATTTGTTTCACAGCATCTGTCTCTCTTTTAGAGAGACTTCAAAAACCAAGACAGAAGAAATACAGTTAAGCTTTGGCTCTGGGTAAAAGGAGAGATGTTTCCCCAAAGAAGAATCCCTTTCTACCTCCCTCACAGCACTCTACTGCCTTCACCAGGAAGCTCTGTCCATCTTGAGTCGCATTTGCAAGCTCTCAGCCTTTTAAAGATCCCCTATAGCAACCAAAATGAAAGCAGCTATCAGCACAAAAAAGCAATACCTAGGGGACAGACTTGCTATAAACTAGTCATTGAAGACTCTTGCTTTTAACCTTGGTCAGGCAGCCCCTGGAAGTGATGGAGCCCTTAGAATTTATTTCTGACATTAACCCCTCTATAGACACGCTTATTTCCACTGTCTCCACAATCATATGTGAACTGTGTAAACTGCTGCACAGGGTACTTTCACAACTACCTCTTTGCCTGTTTTTGGTCATTAGACATTAGGTATTTATTGAGCATCTACTGTGTGCCAAAACATGTGCTATGTACTGGTGCACCACTAGGTACATCCCCACACATCATCATGTAGGCCTCCAGAGGTGCACCTCTATGAGAGTTGTATTCTAATTTTTTTGTTAAATGTTTATTTATTCATGCATGTAAGAACTGGGTACAGTGCAGGTCAAGGGTGTGGGGAATGAGAAGATTCACCAAAGACAGAGTGAGAAGCAGGAAGATTGACAAATACACTGCTGAGGGGAGCAGTAGGCGAGACAGGAGAGGTCTGCTGTGCCATGTGAGTCATTTCCCTTGCCTGGGATGGAACTCAAGCCCCAGGGGTTGGTGATAACTTGAGAGAGCAGAGATTAACTCCTGTGTCACCAGGGACAACCCTGAAAGTTGTATTCTTAAATGTCTAAAATCTTTCTTGCCACTCCCTTTCTATTTATTTAATATTTTGTAATTTTAATAATTTTATGAACCCCCATTATAGAACTTATGGGTTTTACTTCATTAACCCATTTTTTTAAAGTCATATTTACACACCCCACCCATCAGTGTAGACACTATCTGGTGAGATTTACAATAATTGGGACTGATAAGTTGCTTTAATTGATTCATTCATATACAGCTATCCAATCAATAATCACAATAATCAGTCATTTACTGAGCAGCTGCAGTATGTAAGACTTTGTATTAAGATGAGGTTAAAGACCGGCCCTCAAGATGTGCCTAGAGGGTAGGCCAGGGGAAAGCACTATTAGCCAGTTAAGACTTGATATATACTACCTATGAGAGACTGAGCAAAGAAAGATGTCAGGAAGCGGCTTCACAAAGGAGTCTGGTTCTTAAAATCACCATGACAAGGAATGTCTTACAAGCATAATATAGTCCAAAGTGTGGGTTAAAGCAATTCTCTTTAGGGCCCTCCCTGGTGGTGCAGCAGTTTAAAGCACAACATTAAAAAACTAAAGTCACTTCAGCGTGAGTTTGATCCCTGCACCAGAGGTGACCCACAGGTGCAGCAGACCTCTCCTGACCTGCCCACTGTTCCCTTCAGCAGTGTACTTCATCAGTCGGCCTGTTCTGATCCTCACTCTGTCTCTGGTGAATCTTCTCACTGCCCCTGCACCTCTGGCCTGTACCCCAGTTCTGTATGCATAAATAAATAAATCTTTAAAAAAACACAATTCTCTTTAAAACATTAAGCATTAATAGAATATATGGTTAAATGACATTTGAGAGGTACAAGATAATATTTACCCATTTCAAAGCTGATGTTTTCACTTACACAAAATCCAATTAGGATATCAGATACTTTGCATTTCTAGCATGAGTATTAATGAAACATTGCAGGGTGAGGGGACATGAAAATGAGATGTCTGAGTCTGCATGATTCACCATGTTTTTCAATATCATGCAATCTCCCACTAATGAGCAATAGCTGAGGAGCAATATAGAGGCTATTAACTGTTACATATTAATAATGCCCTGCTTGGGGATGAAGGCAGGACTTTTACATGCTGCCTATAAACTCCCATAGCTTCTCCCTAGCCCCATTCTCACTTTAAGCAACTCTTCTCCAAAGCTTTCCAACAATATAAACAAGAAATTCAAAGGGAGATTAAATGGACACCTCAAAAATTGTTTCCTCAGGCTAGGTGATGCCAGAACAGACATGATTAAAATATATTTCCAACATTTGTTTAAGAGTTTTCACCCCAGAGAACAAGTTTTCCCAACTGAAATTGGTTCAGTCACTGAATCATATGTGGTTTGTTTGGTGAGAAGAGTTTTGTCATTTTGGTCAGTTAAGTTATGATGAATCAAAGAGACAAACATCCGCGAGGGAGAACTAACTTACTGTGAGGTCACTGTTCAATCTGCTACAAAGGATGACTAAACAAACCCAAGTTTCCTCACCAAGTGCAATTATTGACTTAATATAGGAGTTTATTAGACCTCTGGTATGAATTGTTTGCTAATATGTGGACCTATATACTGGCAGGAGAATGGTAACAAATGAAACTGAAATCCTGCCCTCATCATAATTGCACCTGTGGTGCAGTGTTTATTCTAAGCTAGAGAAACATTTCATTTACTGAAAGCTACTGGTCTGAACCAATCCCCAAGCTCTTCCCTCAACCTGATTTGCAGATCAATTGTCATGATTAAAGTAAAGGGATTTGAAGGAGCCAACTGCTGATTCAAGTATTACAGGTGCTTACTGCAGTGTTATTCACATCCTGCTTTACACTAAGCTGGTTGAGTTTCAAGCAAAAAGAAATTCAAAAAATTGCTGAATGCTTGGAAGCAAATATTAAGGAACATGCTCTACTCAAGGGAAAGATGAGTGTAGGAATGAGAGTAATGAAAATATATAGGGTGAGTTCTGAAAACTAAGTTTTTCCCAACTATGGCATGATTCACATACTTCTTTAAATTACGAACTTCAAGCTAATGAAGCCAGGTTTGTGGATCTTTTGTATAGTTAACCATCACTCTGGGACTGTACCTAGCGACTAGGGCTTTAAAAAACAGGTCAATCATGTCACTGCAAATGTGTCCACAGAGCTGTAATGAAAGTCCCCAAGCCAGATGTTAATCAGCTCACATCATCACCCAGTACTGCACTTTTTCCCAGGCGAGGTTACCATCTTCGTATTCCTTCAAGTGTTCTTTGATTCTCTTCCTTCTCCTTTCTTTCCTAGGATGCTATCTATCCTACTTGCCTTTTCTTTATTGAATGCAAGTTTCCTGTTTTCCTGTCCTGACCAAGAGTTGTGCTAACTTCCCTGATGATGGAATCAAAAAACTAGTATCCAAGCCCTCATTCCAGTATTTCTCTCTTGTTCACAAAGGATGGCCTATATTCATAATTCCTTGTAAGCCAATATTTAACTTACTCAATCTCGAATCATTCAACCAACGTAACTCCCACCAACATCAGCAATGGCTTCAATTAAAATACACCAGTGGAAATCTTCAGCTCTCAACTTAATTAACAAGTTATCACTTGACACACTAACAACACCCTTGTTCTAGAAATGCTCTCATCATTTTGCGCTTGTTTCTCTTCCTGTCTTAATTGGTATGTCTCCCCGATTTCCTTCAAATCCACCCTTTATCTGATTACTAAAATGTTGGAAAACTCCAAGGCACACAGGTTTTACACACACACACACACACACACACACACATTTTAATTCTTCTTTCAATGCATGGAGCTTCAATTGCATATCTAAGTCAAATAGTTCTACGGGATGTCTAAATGGCACCTTCTAAGTGCCATGTTCAAAATCGACTCATCATTTCTCCTTCCCTTATTGCCATACCTGTTCTCACCTGAAGCTCATCTCACTAGAGAAAGGTCCTACTCATTTCAAATTATACAGCAAAACTACAACATGTATATACCTTAAATATTTTGCTGAGAAAATGAAGCCAGGTAAAAAAGCATGCATAGGATTTGATTCCATTTACATGAAATGTTCAATTATGGTAAGTCACATTAAAAGCTGTTGCCTAGGGCTAAAGACAAATTGGGAGTGACTAAAACAGCCATTGTTTCTTTTGATGACAACAGACTGGCATAAGGTTTCTTTCTCAAAGTATATTAATATTAATCTGATGTTGGCAGAGCAACTCTAAAAATACAACGAAATGTATTGATGTATTGAGTTGTATATTTAAAGATGGATAAATGTGATTTTACATATATAGTGATTATATATGTGTGTGTGTGTGTGTGTATATATATATGTATGTATCTATGTATATACTCAACAAAACTAATAGAGAGGAGTCATGTTTGACTCCCTTTCCCCTCCATCTCCACCTGAAATCACTCAAGTTCTAGCAAGAAGGCTACCAAAATATTTCTCATTCATTTAGTTCCACTGTGCTTTACTTAATCTAAATTGTAATCATCATCAGTAATTCCAGATTCAGTTTTCCTGATTGATATCCTTTTACCTGTCTGGTCATCAATTCTGATGCCCACAAGAAATGGTTCCGTCATATTCCAGCCAGAAAGATTTTTTCTGTGTAGGGAGCTTTTATTGGCTTTCAAATGTGCATAAAGACCACATTCTTTAAATTGCTCTAAAAGACACACCAGAACTATCGCCATAACCTGTATCTGTTCCTCTATTCCAGTCTCCTCTTATCCCTCTCTTCTGGGTCAGTTACATATTTTTATCTGTGATGCTTCCTTTACAGTATCACCTGCTGGGTTACTATGTGCTCTTTGGGTAACTGAATGACCTTGATGGGAACTGCCCTGCACCTTCAGTCTAAGGTTCTAAGTCATCCTCATTATTGCACTCACAGAACCACAATCCGTGCTTTCAGAAAACTAATTCCAGTTTGTAATGACATTCACCACTATGATGAGTGGATTAATAATGGTTCATCCCTCCATTCAAGTAAATGGCATGACAGCAAAGAAAACACATGCTTTTGCCCTTTTTTAGCCATTATATCATTAGTACCTGGACTGGTACCTGCCCATTAATCATTGATTTAAAAAAATAATAACTTCTGTATGGGATAGATTATATCAACACCTGCTATTAAGGAGTAAAACTCCTTTCTTCATGGAGAAATCAAACAGGTTATTGCTTATTACTTCAATCAAATTTCTCATGTGTACTGTCCTAATGCACCTGTCAAATCATCTAGACTCAATTTCTTCACTGAATGCAACCAAACTTAGGAGGACTGAAATGAATAAGCTACCTGATCTCTGAGAGTCCCAGAGAACAGCCAAAATAGAAATATGGTGACACTCTAGTTTCTTTTAAATTAGCAGAAATTACCTTCAAGATTGTCTCTAAATCATGGCCTTTTTCCTATTTAATGGAAAGAGGTTCCTCCAACCAAATAGAAATGTTCACACTCTTCCAAAGTTCTGCTAAAAACAATGTTTTGACATCCTTTCCTTATCTCTATACACACTGACTTCTCTGGTGCCCTGTTCCAAGGCTTGACAGCACTCTGGCAATCCCAGATTCCTCTGTCTCCTTTTCCTGTGAGTGAAAATAAGCTTCCAACCATCACTTGGCAATAAAATCAGCTGTCAGGCATCTATGCCCCATGTAGTCATCCCCTAATGCCTTGGGCAGAACCCTGGGACTCACTGGGGCCTCTCCCCAGAGCGTCATCCCACAGTCTGCAGCCTAGACAGTAAACAGGAGGAAAATCTGAAGGATTGGGCAGCAAAGTAGCCCAAGCTATGCTTTTCAGATTCTTCTATCAAAGAATTTTAAAATGAAACAGTTAAAATATAGAAGTCTAATATAGAAATTAGAAGTAGTAAAAGAAAATTCTTTTTTATAAAATAGAATTAAACTACATTTGAAAGATGAACTAAAATCATAAAAATGACAAATTTTGATGCTATGGCTAGGGACAAAATTCTGATTCTTCAGAATTATTCTGGACAATTGCATCTGAATAAATATTGCAAGCACTTGACTCAGCTTATGCAAAGCACACATTTTAAAAATTAGAATTCTGCCAGTGTATATAAATGGCTTAAATAGCAAACATTTGAATGGAGAGTAGTGCTTTTCATCATGGTTACTAGATCTGTAATTCTTAGGAAATCAATTCTTTCTAGAGATTATAGATTCTCTAAGTATTAAATGAATATAATAACATTGGCTTTCTCACAGGAATTTTTGAAGAGTAACAAGAAAATGGCAGTATGTGTATTGGCATTAGGAGTTTAGGATTTATCATTATAATGTGTCATTAGGGTAAATAATCCCAACATGTCAAAAACAGTTCATTATAATGCAAAATACTGCCAGAGAGTAACAGCATGTTTAATATAGTATTTTCCTTAGAATTGTTTTGAACTGAGCTCAGAAATTTTTCTGAAGACATGCCAAAATTTTAATTAGACTGTTATCACAAATAGTATAATTGTATATTTAACTTTAACACTAAGTGCTAATAATCTCACAGAAGGTAGTTGTGAATGTGTTTAGAGTTCAGGAGAGGGAATGCTGACTAAAAGAAAAATGTAAAAATTTAGAGCAGAAAAACCAAAAAAGGGAAGATGAGAAGAGCCATATAGAGAATTCGCCTTTTCAGTCAGCATCCCTTTTATTAAAGGAATCCATCTTCTAGTAAAATGTTACTTAACTTCTCTTTCAATGTATTCAGATAAAATAACAAACCAAATTAACTTCTAAATATTTCTTATGTATATTTCCATTGCTTAAGAGAAAAATTCACCCATCAGTTTCCATAGCTTTTCTCTGATAGAGTATAGTAAAGCATGGGAATTCTGTTTCTCTTATACACAGACATGTGGCAGGCAATTTATCAATATGGATACACAAAGTTACCCACTAAAGCCCATCCTAGAAACCAAATGTCATATAGAGAAACTTAATATTTGGCTTAGTTAACAAAAATCCCAAATATTAAGGATATTTACTTTTAGATATCCAACACTAAACTCTCTGGTGTAATCTCACGTATGAACTTGGGTATTTTTTGTGGGTTTACTCATCTATTTTTGTTATGCAAACATCTAATGCTAACTTTACATATTTGACAATTTGAAGAGAAAATTTAAAAATTATAAAGATAGGACCAATAGCATAAGGAAATGTGTTTAAACCAACTGACTTCCAGATCCACTTTGATATAACATTTCATAACACACACCTAGACGCTCCCTTCTTGATGGACGGATAATTCCACTCCCTGTTTTCAAGACAAGGAACAGATGTTTAACTATAGTCAACTGTTTTGTAATTGTTTTATTTATTTTTGTTCAAAAGTTCCACTGAAACAAATCTTAATTATTAATGAAATTAAAATACAGCTAAGAACAACTTTTCATTGCAATGGGGCATGGACATCTTCTGGGACCCCAATGTTCACAGATCCAACTCTAGTTTTTCTTCCATTGAAGAAGAAAATGCTAGTATCAGCTATGTTTCCCTCTTGAAACTCAGAGAAGCAGAACCAATAAAGGTACTTACTTGACTCAGACCTTGTTAGGGTTAAAAGAAAACAGGCAAAAGAAAGCTCTACATTTTGAGGGCAGGACTACTGGTTTAATTTAACCTAACCTGGAAGCACATTCTTGGCTTTCTAGAGAGTAAAAAATAAAAAGTGCTGATTCATATTTATACTGCAGTTAAGAAATTTTAAAAAATAGCAGTATTTGAAAGCAACAGAGAATAAAGAAAATCAGAAATATTTGAGATGATCTAATTATCATTTATCAAGCATTTGCTTCAGGCCAAACCAAAGGACTTTGAATGACACACACTTTTCTTTTTACAGGGTTATAAGAGTGATAAGAAAGATGAGGTTAATTAAAAAGAGAGAGAGAAGAGAAGAGAAGAGAAGAGAAGAGAAGAGAAGAGAAGAGAAGAGAAGAGAAGAGAAGAGAAGAGAAGAGAAGAGAAGAGAAGAGAA